CTGCGGGAAGAATTCCTTCCTTAAAAAAGTATCTGTACTTTTTCCACTACTCATACGGCTCATATTCACTAGTTTCCCCCTAATTGTCCCCTTACGCCGTGTCCGCCCCTACCATCAGCCTTCCAGTGCCTGAAGGGGCTACAAGAAAGCTGGGAGAGGACTTTTTACAAGGGCAGGGAGTGACAGGACAAGGGGTAACGGGTTTAAACTGAAAGTGGGGAGGTTTAGATTAGATATCAAGAAGGAATTCTTCCTGGAGAGGGTGGGGAGGCACTGGGACAGGTTGCCCAGAGAAGCTGTGGATGCCCCATCCCTGGGAGTGTCCAAGGCCAGGCTGGATGAGGCCTGGAGCAACCTGGTCTGGTGGAAGGTGTCCCTGCCCCTGGCCTGGATGGCCTTTAAAGTCCCTTCCAACCCAAACCATTCTATGATTCTATGATCAAAGTAGTTTGTGGGTGGAAACTGCAGGTACATGGAGAAACAACCAAAAACCCTGCTCTTCAGTCAGCCAGAAGCACAGGGGGAAAGGTGAGCAGGCTTTATGAGTGTTGCTTGCTGCACACAGAAGCAGCTTGTATTTATGGTGGTTTTTGAGAGATCTACCTCTTCACAATCTTGGCTCTGACATACGAGAGTCGTGGTGCTCCCTCTTTGGGCATTGAAAATCCTGAGCTGGTGTTTTGGCCGCTGTCGTGGCGTTTGGCCGTTTTGTTACGTGTAACCAAAAGGAATACAGCAAAACGCAGAATGGGAGCTTTGTCCTTAGAAAACTGCGGTAAGAGCGTGGTTTGTGTAATGAGTAACTGGTGTTTGGGGGGATTTGCTTGTTCATAGGTTTGAATTTACACACAAGAAACAGACGGGTGGAGCAGGCCAGTATGGCAAAGTCATAGGCGTTCTGGAGCCCCTGGATCCGGAGGACTACACAAAATTAGAGTTTGAAGATAGAACCATTGGCACAAATATCCCAAAACAATTCATCCCTGCTGTTGAAAAGGTACAAAGCTTTTGTGTGAGATTCAAAAAATACTGATTCTTGTTATCCTGCTATACCATCTGCCTTTATTGTGACCGTTACGCCCCAGGCAAGGCAGCTTTTCCCATTACTTCACTGGAAACAGAATCAAATTTGTGTGGCTTTGGTTAATATCTTACATTCCTAGGTTCTCCGCTCACTTTCCAAGCGGCTGTTTGTTTTCTTTGGTGCTGTGTGCTTGCTCTGTTTCCACAGCAGTGCCAAAGGTAGGCTGTTCTTTCTTACAGTCGAACAAGCCTCCCTCTGTTGAATCTGTTCTTCAGTGGCCCTCTTCCCCTTTTGATTGCAGCCACGTGATTCTCATCTCTAACCCTGGAATATGTAACTTCTTCAGTGACTTCTCCGGGGCCAGTTATGTAGGGAACTGTAGTTAAGCTGGATTTGCTGCATGAATTACCAAATATTCTTTATTTTTCATCTCTTCTGTGCACTTCCTCAGTGTCTCTGTAACTGTATAAATTATCACGTACTACTTTAAGTAGTACTCAGCATAACCTTTGAAATCCTGTAATAATGGATCAACCTAAAATAATTCCTTCATTATTCCATGATGCAACACTTAAGAGTTTTGCCAAATCCTGGGAAAAAAGCATGCATTCTTAAAAGAATCTTGTTCTTTGGTCAAGTGGTTGGGGTAGTTCTTTCCACACGGAGCATTCTTTTGGGTTTTGATCATACAGGCAAAATCCTCAGGACATTACTTTCTCTTGTCCTTTGCTTTTCACGTGATTGCTATTTTTTTAGAGAGATGCGGGTGTCAAACTGAGGTGCCAAAGAATGATAATACAAAGTTTTCAAACACTTGGGAATGGGAAGGTTTCCCCACTGTTATTTTCTTTTATCACCTCAAGCAAGAAGTTTTGTTGAGTAGATATGGGATTGATGCTAAAAGCAGTGAGAAGCTGGGGGGTTTTGTTGTTGTTGTTTGTTTTTTTAAGCTGCGTATCTTTTATAGGCTGTTGTTAACGTTACTCTTTTCTGAGCTTCGTTTTTGTCTAAATACTGCTGACTTTAAGATGTTGTTTGACAGGGATTCCGAGAAGCATGTGAAAAAGGTCCGGTGTCAGGGCACAAAATATCTGGAGTCCGGTTCGTCCTGGATGATGGTGCACATCACATGGTGGACTCCAATGAGATCTCTTTCATCCGAGCAGGAGAAGGAGCCCTAAAGCAAGGTATAAAGAGAGTCCTTTGAACGCGTAGTCCTGCTGGCTTCTGTGGGCTTAAACTGAAAGTGGGGAGGGTTAGATTAGATATCAGGAAGGAATTCTTCCCACAGAGGGTGGGGAGGCACTGGGACAGGTTGCCCAGAGAAGCTGTGGATGCCCCATCCCTGGGAGTGTCCAAGGCCAGGCTGGATGAGGCTTGGAGCAACCTGGGCTGGTGGAAGGTGTCCCTGCCCATGGCAGGGGGGTTGGAACTAGATGGTCTTTAAGGTCCCTTCCAACCCAAACTGTTCTGTGATTCTTTATTGTTGGAGCTAAATTTAGCAGCCACCTTTCTGTAGGTCTGTTGTTTGCCTGGTGTGTCCATCCGTACAGTCAAAGTGTGGCTGGTTGTGTAGAACAGAATGCATTCAAGAGCTTGTAGAAAAGTTGGGGGAGGCACCTTGAGCTGTACAAAGGAAATCCTGTCTTCCTAGAATAATTAAACACCAGCAGCCTCATCCTTACGTAGGTATGAAAACGTTTCATCAAACTGTGTGCTTCCTGGCACTACAGTCTCAGGAATACAAGGCAAAGGAGCTGGAATTCCACATGGGCAATTCTTGTTTTTCCCCGCTGATGCAAGAACCACTTGGCATTAACCATAAAACGCTTTGTTGCCACACACAGGGGTATCCTGAATTACACCAGGCTTGTTCTTTGATTATTTAGTGAAGTTTTTTCCCCCAGCTATGGAAAACGCCACCGTGCGTATTCTCGAACCCATTATGGCGGTGGAGGTGATGGCACCCGTTGAATTCCAAGGAGTGGTGATAGCTGGAGTTAACCGCCGTCACGGAGTGATCACAGGACAGGACGGCACAGAGGGTTACTTTATTCTCTACGCGGAGGTTTGTGCTGTTCCCTGCTCCCTGACCTTTCCTTTTCCTGCCTTGCTGCTCAACTCCATGACTGTTTTACTTACTGACTAATGTGTGTAGACTCGTAGCCAGGCTTTTCAGTGGATCAACATCAGTTTTCAGTAGATAAGCATAACATAAATGAATGCAGTCCGTGCAGCATTAGAGGGAAGATCTTGGGGTTCGCTGCTACCTGCAGTAGCTAATAACTACCGATGGCTTCAGCGGCCCTCCTGTGACATCCCTCCTAAAGACGTATTTGCTCTGACGTTGGGCCATACAGAAGTGTGCGTGTAGCCGGGCTGGTGGGGTGAATCGTCTCGGCAAAACCCGAGCTGATGGCAGACCACGCGCTGCGTCGCTCCTCCTTTGTAAACTGTGTTTAGAGCTGCGGTCCTGAGATAACTTCCGACTGTCGGATCTCTTGCTGGCTCATGCAGGTGGCTGAGCTGGGGATACCCCGGCATCTGCTGCGTTCAGACTCCTGAGGTTTTTTGGGTTTCCTAATATAAATTACTTGAAATAAAAGGTACTTGGCAAAATAGGGAATTGGATTAGTACTGTTGACAGAGAGCACCAGGCTTGACTCTTTGTTGAGATTAACTGATGAGATTGAGTTGAGATGAATTAGATGATAACCAAAAGTTGATTGGAAAAGTACCTTGTTTTTACAAGAATAGTGTGCTTGGATTGTAGGTGCCGCTGAACAATATGTTTGGATATGCCACTGAGCTGAGGTCTTGCACAGAGGTGAGTACTTGCCGTACCTCTTGCTGTGAATCACCTGTGCCGTTTGCGGCAGCGTGTGCTTACCTCCCACAGCAGGAAAAGCGAGAAAAATCAAAACACGTGCAGAATGGGAAAATAACCTTATTTTACTGTTACTGTAACTGCTTTTAATTAAGGTAGCTGTTGTTAGCTGTGTCATTTCTGGCCAAAAAAGTTCTTCCATACTTTGAGGAGGGAAGAGATTCAGAGTCATAAGTAATACAGAGTGACAGGTATGAGTAAAAGTGTTAAATTCATAGGCTGGCAGAGTTACAGGTGGAAGTAGAAGAGAATTTTGACAGCAGTACTCACCTCATTAAGATGTCTTCTTTTAAGATGTCTTTGTAACTACGCCTGTAGTTACACGCTCATTGAATGCATTGGAATCGGGCAAATGTGTTAATGTGTGTGTCTCACACGGACCTGCTGGGTGCTTTGCTGTACGTGCTTGTGGCGGGTTATTTCACAGATTGGGGTGTGGCCTGGTTACACCTTCAGCACCTCACTTTGCCTATTCCTCCAATCCTCCAGGGAAAGGGTGAATATACAATGGAATACTGTAAGTATCAGCCGTGTTCGCCGAGCACTCAAGAAGAAATAGTTAACAAATACCTCGAAGCAACGGGACGACTTCCTGCGAAAAAGGGCAAAGCCAAGAGCTGACTTTTTTCCCCTTGAGTACAGCGAACAGGTTTTCGCCATCCTCTCTAAAAGCTCGGCAGCCCAAGCGCCAGAAGCAGGTGAGACCGGCTGGATAAGTGCAGGCTGCCGTGGGACTTGGGCTTGGAATTGCGTCACGCTAGCCTGCCTTTGTGGTGCTCTCGGAAGCCAGCGGGAGATCACAGTGCAGTCGTTCATGTGTAAATGCTGCTCATCAACAAAATATATAAATGTTAAAACACATTTGTCTTAAAACTATTTTAATACAAACTGATTATTTTTTTACTTGATACATCGTTATTTTGTAATGAGGCTGGTTACTCTTTCTCTGGCTTTGAAAGTTTACAAATGTCAGTGTAGGAGACTGAGCTGAACACCAGCTGCTGGCCAGGCCCGGGGGCGAGTGCTCGTGGGATACCGCGCGTTCTTCACGTACGAGCTCCGAGCACAGACCCTGCAGCTCGCTCGGAGCGTGCAGCCCCGGGAACAACTGTCAGCTGCCCCTCCTCAGCCTTCAGAGACAGTGCTAGAGGCCTCCGCAGTCCTGGGCAAGGGCATCCGGCGGCGCTGCGTGCGTGTCACCGCGCCTGCCTGTCGCCGATGGTGCGAGGCGTGGGAAAGAGCCGACCGAATGAACGTAGAAGGTAACTCCTGCCAAAACCGTGCGCAACACGGATTTATTTCGGGGTTTGCTTTCTCGGCTCTCTGTTAGGAGACCGAAGGAAACATTCCTTTTCCCAGACTCCTGCAGTCACGAGGGCGTGTTGCGGGTGATGCTTAGCTTGGGAATCGGCTTGGGGATCTTGCTCACACACGGGAGAGAGTTAAACCAAGGTTGTTAGTTAGGCGAGAAGGAGAAGCTGTTCTCATCACTGTTTCTTATTAATTACTGCCCCACTCTGGATTCCCCTTACACGTTCTCTCTTCTTGACCTCCTGAGCTTAGTGGTGTTTTTGCAGACTTCCAGTAAGCGGGATGAAGTTCCCAGTTCAAAACCAGCTGCATTCCTGGCAGAGGACCGTGGCTGATGTTTACCAGCAGCACAGGACTGTGTTGGCTGGTCGTTTTTCCCTTTGCAGAAAAACGGGGAAAATTAATCATTTTAACCTTGAATAAAGGAGTGTCAGAGATTTTCGGGGGCGTGTAAATGCGACCTAAAGACAGGCGTGACATCGTGTAGGAGTATGGTGTTGCTTTGGACTAAATCCTCCTTGATTCCCTTACATTTGGAGCCTTATTTTTATGAAAATACTCAGCTGGAATTTGTCTGAAGAAAAGCCCTCCAGGTTCTCTGGCATCTGGGCATCTTAAACAAGCAAATACAGCACATCTACCCAAACTCAAAGCTGCCTTATGAAAGGAGTAAGGACACAAGGAATGGGGTGATTTTGTTTCCATTTATGGCTTTTACATTATGGTTATTAGAGGCCAGCCTGATGTGAATTCCTGGCTAAGGGGTGTCCCGGGTGCGTGCCGGTTCTCCCCCGATCCCCAGTGGGCGAGAGCAGGGCCTGGGGAGAGCAGAGGCACAGCGGGCTGCCCCGCAGCGAGGGAGATCTGTGGGCAGGGGGAAGGCTGAGGTGTAGTGGGAGGACAGGAGCATGAGCAGGGGCCTCGTTCCGGGGCGCCTGGGGTTTTGTTGCTTTGTGAGCGATGTTTAAGCGGATTTTAAATAGCGCCTGTGGTACGTCTGCCTTGGTTGGGCTCTTCCTGGCAGCAGAGATCGCCCTCATCTATACGTCTCGCAGATAAGGCTCCGCACGGGGCTTTTGGGCATGAGGAACCCGTCTGAGCCCCAGCTCAGATAATGTCTACATTGATGTAACCAACAGCTTGGAGTAAGAACCACATGATTTCAGGTTCTGATCCGCTGAAACCTTGGCCCTAAGGAAGCTGCCGGAAATTTGGAGTTCCAACAGGTTTGCTACTTGTGCAGAAGTCACTGATGTGCAGTTTCTTACCGGACGTTGGTTCTTTGGAGTCGAAGTTAGGCCGTCTGGTAAGCTGAAAGTGCTGGATCCTGTGCCATAGGTCTGGGGAGCAGTGACCAAACCCCGGAAAGGGAACTGCACTTGTGGTTAAATGCATTGCTGAGGTGGAGCCTCACGGTGCCAAACCCACGCTATTTCCTTGTTTTAATTCTGAACAAGTGTTTTAATCACCAGTTTCTTTAAGAAATGTTGCCACTCTAAGCTGTGACTTGATGCTTTTGATGATGAGAGATGTTTTACCAGCACAAAAGAAGCCACCAAGAGTATGTGAAATGCTTCACTGAGTCTCTTGTGATGCCCACTGTGTGCTGGCAGAGACAGCTTCAGTCAGTAAAAGTCTGTCGGCTGGAACACACTTGTGTGAAGTGCCGGGGTTTGGGGGGTTGTGTCACCCGGCCAACGATCCCCCGATAAAGCCTTTCTGTTAACACCTTAATCGTTACCGATCAGCAGCAGCGCAACGTGCCGCAAGTTACGGGGAACACAGCCACCCCAGAGGCCGCTGGCTGTTTTCCCAGGTGAGGTGTACTTATCGATAGGGACTTACTGAATTAACCTGAACGAGGGGGGAAAACTGGGCGAAAGCTAGAGGCAGTTTGGCACAATCTCGGAGAACAGAGGCAGGACAGTGGGTCGTCTTTCCGCTCATGGCGCAATAGCTGTGCCGTGCTGCGGACAGACCAAGGCAACAGCCGCCGTTCCCGTCTGAGGAACGCTGCCTCGTGGTGCTCTGCCCGGGTGACAGGCTGGGGAGACAAGAAAACTACTTTTCCTTCTGTGGGTGTTTTTCTGAGTTGCCCTCACCAACAGGAGAGACGAAACCTCATGTAAGCTCTGGCTGCAGGGAACGGCGGGGCGGCAGCGGGACCGCAGCCGGGCAGGCGCTGGTTACTGCCTTCCGTAGGGCCTTCGGGGAGACGTCTCGCTGCCTCCGTGCGTCCGCGTCCCTCTAAAGGCCAGATGCTGGGAGAGGATGGAAAGTTGGGGTCCAACAGCAGCATCGTGAAGGAAAACCTGGCCTCGACCCTGGGAAGTGGTTTTATTGGAGATGTGAGTTACAAAGCGGCGTGTACATCGCCCCCCGGAATAAAAGCAACTGGTAGACAAGTATTTCTTAGTGAGAGATTAATAGTTGTCCCCAGATTTTAATCCAAATATATTACTTTTGTTGACAAACTATGTTACTCTAAGTAACAGCAAGTGACGTAAAATCAGCTTGTGTGTATATGTAGTAGCCAAGTCCGTAGGCAGAATGCTAGGACACGTGAGCCTTGCAGCTTAATAATTGGAGGAGTTAATTTTGGAACTAGTGAAAGCGTTCGTATTCGCTGCTGTGCGACTTTGGGAGAAACCCAATCAATTCCATGTCTGTTAACAAGGACTTTCTCATTTAATACATAAAGCTGACAATCTCTCTTTAAAAATTGGCTCCCCTTTCATGTAAAATCCCAGCAGCCGATCCAGATTCCACTCCAGATCCATCTTCGAGCCCCTGATTCGCTGGAGCACAGAAGTACTTCACTTTCAGAGAGTGCGGGGGAAGCCAAGTGAGGCGCATGTGACACGAGATAATCTCCTGGGGGACAGACGTAAGAAAACACATCTTTTATGATCCTTGTACTCTCTCGCATTCGGCGACGGGAGGTTTTACACACGTAGGCTTCCTTACCTGCGTTGGAATTTCGTGGAGGAGGACAGTGTAATCAAACTCAACAACATCATCTCTCCTTATCTGGACACGTGTCAAAGAGAAAAAGAGGATCCCAAGTTACGTGGCTGAAGTTGAGGGTCAACTCTGATCGACCTGACTGCGCTTAGCTGGCTTAGGGGCGAGGCAGGGCTCAGGGTGGCTCCGGCTGTTGGCGTAAGAGGGCTTGTAGGTGGAGAGAAGGGGAATGAAGAGCACTCCCCGCATAAACACATGAAGGCGCCAACTGGTTGGTGCAGTTCCCCAACATCAAACCGGGTGACTCGGATGCTAATGGAGTCAGCCCTCGAATTTGGGAATCTTGCCTGCCTTAATATGTCCTTCAGAGAAACCTGATTGTTTGGAGTGGAAAACGAATGCTGTCTACCGATCCCAGGTGGCTGAGGGGAACAGAGCTTTGGGAATTCCTCTCCCGTCTGCCACGGGTGTAAGGTACGTTCCCCCGGCACGTGGCGGGGCCTGGACTGGCGCTGCCTTTGAGCGTGGCTGGGAGGGCAGTGGGGCTGACGAACCGCAGGGCTGCATGTCCAAATTCCTGACTAAACCTGCAGAAGCCAGCGGATCCACCCATGCCAACAAGGAAAACCAAATTTTGTCTAAATGAGTAAATACCTTCCATCAAAATCTGGACAAAATGCTTGTCTGGAGATGGAGGTACTTGTATGGGGAAGCCACTGGGATGTGGGGAGAATCCCACCCGTTAGAGGGCGAGACGTTCCCTGCAGCGGGGCAGACACCGTGAGCCTCAGCCGTGTAATTCCCACTCTGCTTACCCACTGCTTCACAGACTTGACTTGTGCCATGAAGTAACCCAAGTTCTCCGTCGACTTTTCCCACATGATGTAACTGCTGCCAGCAGCAGCCAGAGCCCACGCTGGCTCCAGGGCAGGGTCAATATTTCCATAGCTGTCTGCAAAGGAGAGAAACACGGAAATGATTAATTCTGGCTGTTCAGCAGCGGAATGATAAAACACGGAACGCTTTTGCCCGGTTTAGAACTGCTCCTGGGAAGCACCTCTTCCCTCAGATGTGTTACAGTCGTGAAGAGGGACGAGAATGATGCTAAACCTGCAGTCACAGCATACGTATGGAAGCGTGACGGACCGGAAATTGCCAAGAGGCACAATTTGCAGGGTCCCCACAAGGAAGTGAGAGGTGCACCCCAAATCGTGGGGTCAGTTTTGGGTCCCCAACTGCAGGACAGACACTGAGGGGCTGGAGCGTGTGCGGAGAAGGGAACGGAGCTGGGGAAGGGGCTGGAGCACAATTCCCATGGGGAACAGCTGAGGGAGCTGGGGGTGTTCAGCCTGGAGAAGAGGAGGCTCAGGGAGACCTTATTGCTCCCTACAACTCCCTGAAAAGGGGGGTGCAGAGGAGGGGAGGTCAGTCCCTTCTCCCAAGGGACAAGTGATGGGACATGAGGAAATGGCCTCAAGTTGTGCCAGGGGAGGTTTAGGTTGGATATCAGGGAAATCCCTTCCCGGAAAGTGCTGTCAGGTGTTGGAATGGGCTGCCCAGGGAGGGGGGAGTCCCCATCCCGGGGGGGTTTCAGAGCCGTGTGGACGAGGTGCTCAGGGACATGGGTCAGTGCTGGGCTGGGCAGTGCTGGGGTAATGGTTGGACTGGGGGGGCTTAAAGGGCTTTTCCAACCCAAACCATTCTGTGAAATACAGTTGATTATTTGGAGGAATATACCTGGAATATTTTTTCCAATTATTGGTTTGGTTTGGTGCCTGATTTTTTTGTAAAGTCTGTTGTCCTCTTCTTGGATTCGCTTCTGGTCTCTGGTAGGCATGCACTTGATGGTGACCACAGGCGGAGACTTGGTCTGCAGGTACAACACTGTGGCAAGGCAGCTCCCGGCATTTTCCTGTGGGGGTGGAATTTAAAGCTGTTATCTTTAATCAAGATTTTATTTACCAGTGACACATTCTTGGAGAAGCTCTCGGTATTCACGTGTGAAGTATACCAGTGGGGTGCGTGTGTGTCCTCGTGACGCGTGCTGGGTGAAGCTGCACGGGGGCCAGGGGAGTTTTTAGAAAGATGCAATTATTTTTTCCAGAGCAGTGACTAGGTTAAAACCACAAGGCTGAAGTCATTTAACAGAGGTTTTTAATTAAAGTGTAGCAGAAATGCACTGAGTCATTCACTGTGTGATACTTAAGCTTTGAAACAAAAATAATCTAACGCTTCACATTAAATTCTGAAAATAGTTTGAATTTCATAAAATGTGTGTGTAATGGAAAAGCAGATGCTTACGGTAAAGTGGCTAACAACAACTGTCTTGACAGAATGAGTGTGTGGGGGGATAATTAAAAAGAACGCACAGCTGTCAACTCTTTATTCTCCTTTTGGTGCGTGGACACAGCAGGAGCTACAGCCGGATAATGAGGACCACGCTGTCCCAGTGAGGTTGGACCGCAGGGACGCTTCACTCGGGAGACAATCTCTCCGGGCACTGAGCAGAGCAGGTGCCTGCTGACCGCCAGGACCCCGGGCCGGTTAGCTGGGACACTGGGGTGATGCTAAGAGCAAGCCGTGCCCCACGGGGGACAGGCAGGTGGAAGCGTAAAGGTAAGCCCGTCGTGAAGGGTCCACTGACGACGGCTGCTAAACGCACCCGGTCTGGGAGATGCTAAGCCCGTTCAGCGCGCGCGCTGCCGGAAGAAACACGGTGCACCGTAAACTCACCCCGGTTTTGTAGTCCTGGGTAGTGAACTGCAGGTAATACTTGTGACCGGAGTCCGGGATGTTCTGGAAGAGAGAAGGATTCAGCCATCAGGGTCACTATAACCTCATCTCCTGGAACTTGCACCAGCACTGCCACGGGCACTGAGGAGGGCGAACGAGGGGGCTATGGCTACCTCGTGGCCTTGTAGCGTCAGGAAATTGGGGAGATGAGGTGCGCTGAGGTGATCCTAGCCGCAGACACAAAGGGTCTTGGCAGTAAATAACCCGTACGCTGGGGGATGTTTTAAAGCCTTTCCTCACAGAGATAGGCAAGAGGAAAATCGCAGCTCAGAGTCCTTCACAGGACAGACTGATCCTGAGTCAGTTTGGAAATAACAGAATTACAACTCCCTGTTAGCTTCCGAGGAGGTTTTTTTTGCCCAGGCCATCAGAGTGCCCTTGAATACATAAATGAATTAAATCCTGCTGTCTGATTCACACCTGAGCAGGAATTACACAGGCTAATTGGATCTTAGGGATGACAGCCTTCCTAGGGTGTTTTCCTAGGGTTGTGACTGGAAAAGACTGCGACACAGCGTGTCAGAGCAGGATTCTGATCCTCTGCTCCCTTTGGCCCTGAAAATACCAGTCACTGAGTTGCCCAGTTGACCATCTGAGATTCCACTTCTTAAGGACAAATAAAAGAATGGCCCTTGCTGGTGGGGGGCAGCCAGTAGCACCTCTCATAGCCCAAAACATCAGGAAAGCCTCAGAAATGTACACCTTTCAAACGTCATTTTCTTGGATTTGGTGGTTTTTGGTTTGGGTTTTTTTTTTCTCCTGTTGCTGACAGAAATGGTTGAGTTAACAAACTGTATTTTTGGTGTGGGATATCACAGCCTGTCCTGGCCCCAAGCATGCTGAAACAGAAACTAGCTTTTAATGTTGGCCATGGGAAATACTTATTACCCTGAAACAGGATCAATGTCTCAGTTAATGGTGTAAGAGCAGAGCCTATTAAAAAGTGTTTTGCATTATCTGCTCTTTATTGGTCAGTCTTGTATTTTCTTACCAACTTGTATATTCACTTTTGAAATTTCTGTATTTATTTTGGAGAAGGGGGGGTGCAAGTAACAAATAGTATGGGAAACTTCGTATTTATTCACCCAGTTCCTTGTAAAATGACATTATGTGCCACGTTTGTTCCTTTTGCGTGTGTTACATGGTTTAATAACGGGCATTCTCCCTCCTCATAAGCCTGTTCTTGCTTCCATTCGCTGCTGGTGTAGGATCTACTGTCACAGAGGTTTTCTCTTGTGCAGCACGAGCGAGGTGGAGCGCAGACAGAACGTGAGCTGCCCTCAAGTGTCCTGTCGTCCAGCAGCAGCACTGCTTTGTTAGTCTTGTTTGGTTGTAAACAGGAGGGGAATTCTGGCTCTTTGCACAGTTCTGAAGATTAGACCGTGCACGTGTGTTATGTGTCTAAACCTGGGCCTTTGCATCCCCATGGTACTTTCTGCCCGGAAACCATTAGTAGCATGATGTTAGCGACGTTTCGTTCCCAGGGCAAGGCCAGCAGCCAGCACCTGCCTTTAGTACATACACAGAGTCATACGCTACAGATAAGAGGGCAGATTGGTTTAGTGACTCGCTCTGCTCTTATGAAACCCCCTCTCGGAGCTTTGTGATGAGGCAAGTCTGGAGCTGGACCCAGCTGACACCATGAAGGGAACGGAGGAAACGGAGGGGATGAGTTTAGATGTATCTCCTCTGCCTCCTCCTTCTCTCCTGGCCCGTTTTGTGTGTTGGCCAGAACTCTTGTCCTCAAAATGACAGAGGTTAGGACATGGGCAGACACTTGGCACAGAAAAGTGGTTAAAACTAGCTTTCCAGAACGCAGGTTTACACAACGATAACGTGTGGTGCTGAAAGCAGGGTCTAACCCCTCACGATAATCGGCTGCATTAAGCCCGAGTCTCTGACGACTGTGAAGCTACCCAAGAGGCATTACGGCCGTTGTTTGCAACAGCCTTCATCTGATCAAGCACAGCTATTTTTTAATTTAAGGCTTGTTCCCTTTCTGGGCATCTGCACTGCAGAGAACCTGACAGTGGGAGCACACCGCTCCTGAAGGGCAGCAGCTTAGCTCTGATTTTAGGGATGAGAGTGGACAGGGTTTCCTGCGGAACCTTTTCCCCAAGGGGCACAGTACGGCAGCCTGACTGCACGCTCCCAGTTACAGCATCAGGGTCTTAAAGCCCCTAACAAAAGCTCTTTTATAATTAAGCCGGATCTTTGCTGTTCAGCGTATTTGGTCATTTGAAATATGTTCAGCTTTTCGTCCAATACTGTTTGTTCTTGGCATTGGTGTCACCTCTCTGTGCTGAAGAATGCATTGTTTTTATAGCTGTGACAGCTTTGAGAAGCTTTCAAGTGTCCCCACACAGCTAAAACACAGATTCGCTCTGCGTATGGATACCAGAGGGCTGCTTTGATCTTACCAGGGAGAAGGTACATTTGGCATGAAAGAATTTTAACTTTTACTGAAGTATCTCTAGTTTCGAAGAAAAAGATCGCTTTTATTTCCACTGTTATTTTCCACTACCACCCCCAAAAATGCATCTCTGTAAACCATCACAGAGTGTGAGTTAAATAAGAGCTCAGGAATATTTGACATCACACGATGATGGCTGGCTGAGAGCAGCCAAAGATGAAAGTGTCCAAAAGAGAAGAAAACAAGTGAGTAATTCATTTTTCCACTGAATATCTGGGTCACGGGATTGTTTTATTTCCAGGCTCAAAAATAATGCAACTTTCACGACAGATTTTTAGTACTGGAAAGGCCAGAAGAGCAGTTTCGTTCCAGGTCCCGAAGGAGGTGGTTTTGCAATTGGTGTGCACTGCGCTATCTCCCTGCTGGCACAGAAAGGGGTGAGCCGTCTCTCACCCCTCACTGCCGTTTCCGTCTCTTCTCCTGTACATCTCCCTAGCAGTATTTCTTCCCTGGGACCGGCTTTCAGTCGCTGGATCAGTGGGCTCACCTGATCACTAAGCATGGAGAGAGAGAGAGGAGCGAGGGACTGTCCTTTGGGAGCTTGCCTGGGGGATTCCCACCTCGTAGCCCTGCCACGGTGCCTGCAAGCCAGCTCAGGTGGCCTGTGGCTTCCGGAAGTGCTGGAGATGTAAGCAGTCAGGTGAGCCCTCGGGCTGCCCCAGGCAGGAGGGAAAAGACAGCAGAGACTGCTCTTTACCTCTCTGCATCTCATCCAGCCTGGCCTTGGACACTCCCAGGGATGGGGCATCCACAGCTTCTCTGGGCAACCTGTCCCAGTGCTCCCCGCCCTCCACTGTTTTGTGTCAAGATGAACTTGTAAAAAGAAATATCCATCTCTAAGACTGTATTTTGGAGTCCAGTTTAGGCAGGTGTTGCAGTTCAGCCAAGAGCTTACCCAGCTCTACCTTGAGACGTCACCTCCTGGTTCACCTGCCTACTGCTCAGTTACGTCTTCCAGGAGAGCGTGGTATGGGAGACTGCCACGGCAGTGTTTTGAACGTCTTTCAGACTCTAGGGTCTTCAGCTGGCACACACTAATGCTTCTCTTCTCAAAATCGTATTTTAAAGTGCAGCTGTCAACAGTCTGGAGAGATGCACGCTGCTGTTCCCTAGAAGATACTCACTGAAGTTAAGAAGAAGCCCGCATCAATGAGAAGGGACAACAAAAAGGAAAGTGCAGCCAATGGCAAGGTAGGAATTATGTTTGGCGTATCTCTGCTGTTTACTGCCAGGAGAGAAAAGCACTGAAATCTCATTTTACCTGAGAGTAAAAAATCCTTCCCACCTCACAGAGTCACTGTACTGGTGACTGTCTGCAGTCCTGTTTCTAATTACCACAGTTTCACTCGCTACTGGGCTAAAAATGTCGCTTTTTAAATCCAAGGCTTGTGATTCCACACCATGATAAAATGATCCTAATTTTGCTAGAGCCAGCAATACACTAACCATTAGGAATCAGCCTTCTTGAGAAGAAAGCAATTATTAAAACAAAAAAAAAACCCAACCAAACAAAAAACCACCAACCCAAACCCCAACATTTTAGCCTCCTGCATTCACATAATATAGCACATTCCTTCCAGGAAATTCTTGTCATTTTTTTAAAGTGGAGGACAGGAAAGAAGGAAGTGACCGTGTCTAGTACATTTCTCCTCTTGTTTTCACAGAGAGTGCAAAGAAAAAGGGGAAATCAGCTGCAGGAAGGGGTTACGGCAAGCTCCTACACTATCAAGTGCTGGGAGGCAATAATGAGGCGTTTCACTTCTCTATAATGAACCCATTTGTTTCTTTCCTATATTAAAAGGCAGGTGGCTGATCATGGGTGGAAAAAATCTCTTCCCCTCCCCAACCAAAATTACCTTGCAAATACTCAGTTACCCTGGGGTTGGAAGGAGGATCCGCCCCAACCTCTACAAGAGCTGTGCAGGGCTTCCAGCAGCACACACTGCTCCCAGAGACCAGGCTGTTGTGCTGAAGCCTCCTTTGTACATGTAAATATACACATATGTGCACACGCTACCCAGTAAATACAAACAGAGCACTTGTAGATTGCAAAAGAAGCATCAGATGTAGTGAATTCCCATCACAGGAAGAATGAAATGCCACACTAGCACGTCCATCCTCAGCACCTATTACACGGTGTTTGGGAATGACGACGAGAGCAGGCAGTTACCTAAAGGGTATGGTCTGAGATTAATCTGCAGCAGGATGTCGTGTTTGCGTTCCCAGCCGGGGTAGCACGAAACCTGCAGCCTTGTGTTACACAAATTCTGAATCGTTATGGGGTAGTTTGTGTTTTGTCAGATGTAATTGGAAATTATTTCGGTCTGTTAAACATTGTGTGCAACTCAAACAGGCTTCAAATTGTTTAGGAACCACTGTCAAGGGGGATGTACGTGACCAAGCTCAGTGTTGTATGGACCACAGCGGTACACCCTGGGCTGGCTTGGAACGCCTTTCTTGGAAGGGAAGGTTTTACACAACACCATCTCAGTTTGGGGAGTGAGGACCTGGACTGAACCAGCCGTGCAGA